GATAAAATTAATTAAAATTCGAAAATTTCCTTTCCTATCACCGATGCTAATTATCTGATACGTATCTTGTTGAATAAAAATATCATTAAAAAAAGAATGAATTTCAAATTTGACGTATGAGAACGAAAGTTTGTTTACATTTTCTCAAATGCTAAGTTTGTTTACATTTTATAAATGTTCACATTGCGATCTTCAAATATGATAAAACTTCTTATCATTCCAACAAATCTGATAACATAAATCCCAAATGACCTGAATTATACAATGTTAGGCACGAATGCTATAATTAAATAAATGCAGTCAATTATAAGCATTTAAAATAAAATATGGAAATATTCGTGATGATGTATTTAAAACCAAAGATTGTAAATATTAATATTATTATTATTATTATTTATTATTTATCGTTAATTATTATTATTATTGTTTATTATTTATCGTTATTATTATTGTTATTACTATTATTATTGTTATTATTATTATTATTATTATTATTATTATTATTATTATTATTATTATTATTATTATTATTATTATTATTATTATTATTATCATTGTTATCATTTTTATTGTTATTACTAAATTATGATCAAAATTTTAGGGTGACCCATGGTATATGGCGTTATTTGCCACAGCTAATAATGGATCTCTTTTGGAAACACGGAAGATTGATGAATTAACAACATTTTACAAATATATTACTCAAATTATGCCAGTAAATGTTAACAAATCAACCGTACATTATCGAAATGATTTATGTGAACCATTTTGTAATTTTAATTCACAACTTTGGAATCTTTTGGTATAAATTTACTTCCTTTTCTATTTTCTCCCTTCATTTTGTCACTTTAATATGAATAATTGTCTTATTTTTATAAATTAATTTTAATCGTAATTTCACATAACTTATGAAACTGGAAAAGAAAAGGAAAAAACAAAAACAAAATGAAACAACGAAAATATACTTTAATCTTTGATCCGAAGATAATGTTTGCAATTTAATTTCTTCTACTTTACTTTTTATTTTATTTTTGATTTATTTATTCACTCATTTACTTTATTTTTATAAACAAATTTTGGTATAATTGTAGAATTACCAATCATTTTTTAAAATTATTTATCCATTATCATCAGCTGGACCATATAAAGTAAACATTGGTAGACATCTTTTTAATCGTACCAACGATGAACGAGGTTAATTTTCGCTCAATAAACTTTTCTAATTTAAATAAATTTAAAACAAACCGATTACATATAAATAAATATTAAAATAAACTATTTGAATAAATGAAATTTTAAACACTGTATATAAGTAAAAGAATTCGTAGAATTTTTCTTAACAGTACTGAACTTTAGCATCATTTTTCATTTATTCATTCATTTATTCCATTTCCGATTTCATTAGTTACTGATACAACATTGAATCTGCATATATTTAATAATCTATTTTCTTTCATTTAGTTTTCTATTTCTTCATCCCTTGGTAATATGCTAAACTTACATTTATTTAGTAACTGAATAATTAATATTTCATTCTTACCTTATAATGCAATGTTATCATTCAGCTATCAATACTATCAGTAGAAGTATATCAGAATTGATGTAGAATTTGTTTTTTGAGTGATTATGAATAATTTAGATTAATAGATTGATAAACTTTTAATATGTTTGCCAGTCATAGTTTAATTAGATATAATTATTTAACGTTTTTTTTTTCTGTTTTTATGGGGTAAAATAATTATTTGAATCATTTTCTACCCATTTTTTTTTTTGAAATTTAATTAAACATTTATAGGTAATGTAATTGGTGTTGGTACTGTTGCAATATATTTTACAACATTTATCACTGATAACATCAAGCAAAAACAGTTGGACGTATTTGAAGAACAAGTTTTTAGGTTTTTTTTTTCTATTTCACTAATTATTTATTTTCGTTTTCGTTTTTTTCTTCTTTTTTTTCAGTGGAAAAAGGACAAAGTACAAAGGATAAATACTTTATTTTTATTTCCTTTCATAAAATTTAAAACATAGCAAAATTTGTCAAACGAGAAAAGAAAAAACCTAATCATTATTAATTCATATTTTAACTAAATTTGTGGTAAAATAAGAAATAAGTAAATACATTTGTAGAAGAAAAGTTTCTAAACTAAGAAAAAATATGGAAATTATGAAAATTTAAATTGAAAGTTGGAAATGATAAAAAGTTTGAACTTATTTCAAAAATACAATAAAATTAAATTAGTGGAAGAGAAAGATGGAATTTTCAGCGAAGTGCAAAACCATAATGCTAATCTAAATAATACAGTAACGCTAATTGTGCATGGTGCGCATACTGTAAGTAGCGAAATACGTCGAGGAATTCAATTAGTGCTTCCTTATTATTTTATAGGTAATTTAAATTTATTTTTTTAACCGATAGATAATTTTTAAAAATTATCATTGCTCAATGTTTTTTATTTTTGTTTTTTTGCTCTCTTAGTAAGAAATAATTGTTGAAATTTAACTAATAATTTAAATAGATGATGATATCGATGAATAAGTCGAGTTTAAATTAGTTATAATATCATTGGGTAATTCAATTATGATTTAAGTAGATTGTAATATTGTTGGATAATTTTATCATCAAAGCTATCTTTTCCTTACCATTAATCAATTGATCTTTTCAGGAGCTCTATTATTAATCGTATTTGTTGCTATAAGCTTAATTATGATAACATTATGCTATTCATATTCAGTGCGATGGTTACAACTT